TATCACACTTTATGGCTTCGTCACCTTCCAGGTGTCGACCAGTACGGCTCGATTCGGGGTCCTAGTGGACATTTCGGGTCGGGGTGTGTCAACTCATCATCGTACAAGAATTAGATTTAAGCATTGCTCGAATCTAATAACAATTACTAACACATTATGGGTGCGTTTGTTGCACCGGACTATCTCAGACTGGACTAGCTTCAGGGACTAAGCTGGACTGGCTTAGACTAGACTAAGCTGGACTAACTTAGTGAAGCGTTTGGTGCAGTGTCGGACTAAAAAGAAGGATAATAGCAAACTATAATATTATATTTTTTAATTCATATCTAATAATATTATATTAATTAATTCTACCTTTTTTATTCTAATAAAACTCTCCCTCTCTCTGTGGAAGCCTCATCCTTTTCTCCCTCTTTATCTCCCTCGTTCTCTCCGTCCCACTATCTCCTTCCTGCCCTCTTTTTTTCCGATTAATTGCCAAATTTTTTTTCTACAAAACGAAGAATCGAGCTTGGTTTTTCAGGTTTTTGTTCGGTGCAAGATTACAACTGGAGAGAGCTTTCCAAGTCCGTGGATTCAATCGGAGCCACAAGCCTGTGGAGCGGCGGAACCAGCCTGCAACAATGCCTGGCAAGCTGTCCGGCAACGAGTCGGGGTTTGTGGAGTCGGGGAAGTGAGAGAAGGCGATGGCTTGGATTTCTTGGATTCGTTTCCGTCAAACCCAAAATTGCAGATTTGGAGATCTTCTGAGATGAAGAAGAGGGAGGAGGAGAGAGAGAGAGTCAGAGAAAGGGACCGCAAGTTGTCGTTCAAGCCTGGGGTGAAGCGAAGCAACATGAGGTGAAGAGAAGAACAGAAGCGGGACTACAAATCCCCTCGTTTTTGGTGGCTCTCGCTAAGCCCACCTAGCGAAGGATTTAGTCAGCACGAGTCCGGCTTAATCCCATTAAACACAATCCCAATTTACACCAAACACAGGACTACTGATTCTAGCTTAGTAGTCCAGTCCAGTGAAACTTAAGCCGGCCAAACAAACGTGCCCTATATAAACTACTATAGGCCAAAAAATTTATGTTGTCGTGTAATATATATCAAGCTAACAAACAAAAGTTCAATTTTTAGAACTTCATTTAAAAAAGAATGAAAGAAATTAGCAGAACAAAAGTTATATTTTCGGCTTGTTTGGAAGTAATTTTAAAATAGCTGAAAACGCTTTTTGTGAAAATGTTTTTTAGTTCCAAAACAGACATGGCATTCGTGTCGTGTTTTCTGTGTTTGTATTGTTTTTGTGACATACACGATATCTTCACGGACTGTGTTGTGTAACACTCGTTAAAGTAAACAGGTAATATAACCGAATCCGAAATCGACCCGTTAATATTATCAGATAATATGACCCGATCCATTACCCATTAAAGAAAATATATTTTAAATCAATGAATAATGAAAATGAAAAATATAATTTGACCCAAAAAATGGAAAACATAATACTAAATTAGTATATGTATACCACATTATCACATAAATATTCAAAAAAAATATTTGTCTTTAAAGTGTTCCATACTCCAAAATAAGAGTCTAATGAAAAAACATTAGTACATTACTACAAAATATCAAATGGTCAAAGACATGCAAACTGAAGGGATGTATTTCAAGGTTGAGGAACCTTGCACATTATTTTACAATAAAACCTTTCGATTTTCATCAATCACTATGGGAAATGGCATTGGAACTTTGGCTTGATATGTTGCCTTCAATAGTTTATTATTAATTTTGTTAATTTTGCACTCAAATAAAAAACACTACTCATGAGATTTGAAGGGTTTTAAAAATCTAAAGACCATGTAATTATAGTCTAAGCGCAAAGAAAGCAATCACAAGTGTTTATATATGCTTTCATATCTTTCAGACTTGTACATTAATGGTTATGAATTTTATTCATTTTGAACTCCCTTAAAAATACTATTCATGAGGGTTTGTATGGTTTTAAAAATTTAAACGATGATATACCCATCCTCAAAGCGTAGAGGGTGGTGCGATCATGAAAGTTTGCATATTTTTTTTCACATTTTTCACAATTGTAAATTAATTATTATAATTTTTTTAATGTGTTTGGTATTTTAAATTACTTGATATTTTTATTTTTAAAGTGTTCTATAATTTTTAATCTCACTTTTTGCCTATGGCATGCTATAAAAATAAATAAATAATTAAAACTTAATTTTTTTAAATTTATATAGAATAATAATACAATAATACATATTTAATATACAATATATACATATACCATTACGGCTATTGTATTCTTATAATAAGTTTTTTAGTAGTTTAAAAAATTAAAATCATCAAAATAACTTTTTTCTTATTGTGTAGAAACGGGTTACCCGCGTGTCACCCTCCTGTAAACCTGTTAAGAACCCGTTGTTAATGGGTGCTTGTAGTATGATCCGATTAGTTATCGTGTTGACCCGAAACCCGTTATTTTCGTGTCGTTTACCTGTCATGTTAACAGGTCATGTCAGGTCTATTCCAAAAGCACTTGAAGTGCATTTTGAAAGAAGTATAATTTATGTGCGTCTTCTAGGAAGCACTACAAATGCTGATCCAAGATTCACTTCTAAAAGTACCTTCAAAAAAATTGTTTTCAATTAGTTTACAATCACTTGTCATTTGAACTAACCCAACAATCTCTCGCTATCTCTCACAAGGTCTCGCCTCGTTTTTTTTTTTTTGTTTTTCTCATTTCTGAATTTTTGGTTTTATAAAAAGAAAATATTTAAGAATTTTTCAAAAAATATTTTACGATATTTTGTTGTATATTAGGAAGTTCTATTGCATGAAATTTGAAAATCTTGTTTCTTTAAGAATTAAATATACTAGAGGTATGATTTTCTAGGGGATAGGTAATTCTCTTCGAGTCATGTATCTCAAGTTCAAAGCCTCATTCCTTTCTTTAATGTATCTTAGAGTAGTATTATTGTTTGTAATAATGGACAATTAGGTTAATATCGTTCCTTGTAACTGTTGACCCTAGAAATTATAAAGCCTACGTGGAACGCATGTCAACTGACTATAAACTATGTCCTCTTGTGAAAGTGGTCGTGCCAACTCGTAACCGAGCTTAGTGGGGGAGTAAAATGGAGGTGTTGATGGTGTCAATTGCGCTGCTGACTTCTGTACTAAAGTGATTACAACCGAGGAAGGAACACATGTCGGCTTTGGGTTCTAAAACCTGAATACAAGGTTACTAGATTACTGTAAAGTTCAATAATTAATTTGGCTTTTGTGGTGTTGAACAAGGGGTAATCTGGAAATATCTCACTTCCCCGAAGCTAATGAGATGACCTTTTGAGATGAAAAAATGGAAAAAAATTTTGTCCTTAAGACTTGGATAGATAACGAACCAACTCGTTATAGTGCTGTTAATCCAAACCAAAGGTGTTCCTGCATTGCTTGGTTTTAAGGCTCTGGTGTCGTCAAGCTAAAGAAGTGTTGTTAGCCAAGCTAAAGATGTGTTGAAGGAAGGGTTAGGATAATTAGTATCTTTCTCAAGGATGTGAGAAGAGTTTCGCATAGAGAGAGGGTTATCACGTAGAGCCTTTTAATTTGTTTGTTGAGTTGAATGGGCCGTCTTCAGTTGCAGAACCTTCTTTATTTATAGATGAATAGATGAAGCCCCTGCGATACAGAAACCTGCCAAGGCAGAGTTTTGATGGGATTGTACCCACTCCGCATCTCCTTGAATATTCTTCTTATATCCTCTTGTGGCCAAAACTTCATCTGCAACTAGTTTGGGTATTTCTACTCCAACTAGGATTATGAATTTGATCTCGTTATAGGACTAATTCATCTTTATTCAATTACGTGGGGATTCTAATCCTTGGGATAATTCATATTTATCCAAGGCTTAATCTCTGGCAATTTTAATTCATGTAGGACTTGATCGAGCCGTCTAACAGATCTCTTCAAAAGTCATTTTTTTCATAAGGACTCGGTCGTGACAGCCCTATTTGTGGGCCGAAAGCCCATTGGCCTAAAGGATGTCTATTGGGTCAAGGTTCATGATTCTCGGGTCGGCCATTCTCGGTCCAAACTGTCATTTCAAGCCCAAATAGTAACATAAAGGTCTGTTTGATAAACACCAATTAATAAGAAGGGCGCAAAACAATACCATGGGAAAAATCCAACACAAAAGACATAATATATATAGTAGATGAGTTGTGGGTGGGCATTGGAACTGGAAACTAAAACCGAACATGTACCGTTCGTCAACCTGGTCAGTTCGGTATTTTCTATTGTTCTCACGGTATCAGTACGAAACCGAACAATATGAGGATTGAATGGAACGGTATCAGTTTCGAATTTTCAAAACCGAGGAATACCAATAAGGCAAAGGGATGGAGGAAAAGAGAGGAAGCAGCATGCGAATGGGCGAGTTCACCCCTTCCAGTCTCAACCCCAGCGTCTCCTAATCTAAACTCGTTCCTCTCGATCAATCTCTTATCTCTATGTAAGTATGTAAGTTGTTGAGTTGATTAGAAAACATTACAAGGTTGTTATATGTGTTATGTCTCAGCTCATAGGCTGAGCTATTGTGTAAAAATGTGATGTGTTGATTAAGTCTCATAGGGCTTATCAATTGACAAGTGTCTTGATCTTAAGATAGGTTGTAATGGTTGGTTGAGATTGAATTGAGGTTATGTCTCTCTCTCTCTCTCATCTCCATCAGTTAAGTGTCTCTTTGAGCTCATATGCTCTGTATGGAATACAATGATAGAAGTTCAATAGTTATGCTCTGTGTGTGTTCTTCCTCCGAATTCATCTTCTAAATCTTTTCGAATATCTATCTCAAATACTGTTAGACTTATTGTGTAGTTATGTTGCTTTATTCTAACATGGCCTCAGAGCCAGGTTGGATCTAAAATTCTGGGCGTTGTTTCTACGAGTGGGTGAGCTCGGATTCACAAAAAAAGCTTACTGCAGTGATTCGAGTGTCTAACATGGCTGGATCTGGAGGAGGAGAACTCCGAGCGCCAATCTTCAATGGCGAGAATTTTGATTTCTGGCAAATCAAAATGAAGACCATCTTTCGCTCGTACGAACTGTGGAATATGGTTGAGAGTGGGTACAGAGCTCCGGTGAAGAAGGAGGAACTCACAGAGGCAGAGAGGAAGCTGCTGCGAGAGAATGTGGTTAAGGATGCTAGAGCACTGGGTATTATTCAAGGTGCCGTTTCAGATCAAATTTTTCTGAGGATTGTAACTCAGGAAAGTGTGAAGGCTGCGTGAGACATCCTGAAACAAGAGTTTGTTGGTGATAAGCAAGTAAGATTTGTGAAACTTTAAGGTTTTATGCAAGATTTTGAATATACTTGCATGAATGATAGTGAATCTCTTTCTGTGTATATTGCTAAATTGTTTGATCTGATTAATTAAATGAAGAGCTATGGTGAAGATCTGAGTAATCAAAGAATTGTTTAGAAATTGTTAATTAGTTTACCTAAGTCCTATGATAGTATTGCAGCTGTGATAGAGAATACTAAGGATTTAGACACCATAGATGCACAGGATGTTGTAGCTATTTTGAAGGGGTATGAACAAAGGTTGGATAGACATGAAGAGAGTAGTATGGAGAAAGCATTTGCTAGTTTGAAATTTCCCCGAAGTTTAATAAGTTCAATGGCCAGCCAAACAGTAACAAAATACCACAAGAATTTTAAGCCAAAAGAGAAACAATGGAGTAAAAAGGGTGATTGGAGTAATAAGGTTGGATTCACTGTGAAGAATGAGGCAAACAATACTGGGGATAAGTGTAAATTCTGTGATAGACTTCACTATGGAGAGTGTTGGGTTAAAAACAAGGTCAAGTGTCACAAGTGCAACAAAATTGGGCATATTGCAAGGTACTGTAATGCGAACAAGACTGTGCAACAGGTGAACTTTGCTAATCAGGTTGATGAAACTGGAAATCTATTTTATACAAATCATTCTGGAGAAGTGAAGAAGATAAGTGATAAATGGTACATAGATAGTGGTTGTAGTAACCATATGACATCCAGAAAAGACTTACTTGTTGATATTGACAAAGGAGTGAAAGCCAAGGTCCAAGTTGGCACTGGAGTCTTGGTTGAAGTTGAAGGGAAGGGAACACTGATCATTGAAACAATAAAGGGTCGAAGATATATAAAGGAAGTTATGCTTGTACCTGGTCTTGCAGAAAATTTGCTAAGTGTGGGACAGATGACTGAGCACGGTTACTTTCTTTTATTTGGAGATTATAAAGTGGATGTGTTCAATGATAAATCTTTACAGAACTTGGTGGTCAGTGTGAAGCAGAAAGGAAATAGATGTTTTCCTTTAATTCTTAACACAAACAAGGAGCTTGCATTGAGGACAAATGTGTAGGAGTGTGTTAGGATATGGCACAAGAGGTTTGGTCATCTTAATTTCAACAGTCTCAAATTATTACAAAGTCAAGGGATGGCTTTGGGACTGCCTGAAATCCAAGACAATGAAACTGTGTGTCAAAGTTGTGCACTGGGGAAGAATCACAAGGAACCATTTCCCAAAGAATCAATGTGGAGAGCAAAGGAACCACTTGAATTAATACACTCAGATGTGTGTGGTCCCATGCAAACATCAAGTCTAAGTGTAAATCGATACTTTATTACCTTCATAGATGATTATTCAAGAATGTGTTGGGTATATTTCTTGAGAAACAAATCAGAGGCCTTCTATGTGTTTAAGAAATTTAAAGCCATGGTTGAGCTTCAAAGTGGATACCATGTAAAGAAACTGAGAACAGATAAAGGAGGAGAGTTCAACTCAAATGATTTTGGAAAGTTTTGTGAAGATTTGGGGATAGAAAGACAGCTCACAATTGCATACTCTCCACAGCAAAATGGAGTAGCAGAAAGGAAAAACAGGATAATTGTGGAGATGGCAAAATGCATGATTCATGAGAAAGAACTTCCATACAATCTCTGGTGTGAAGCAGTAAACACATCTGTGTATCTGCTAAACAGAAGTCCTACAAAGGCAGTGAAGAACACTACACCTTTTGAGAAATTCAGTGGAAGAAAACCTGGGGTTAAACACTTGAAAGTGTTTGGTTCAGTATGTTATTCTCTTATTCCAGGGAATCTAAGGCACAAATTGGAAAAAACAAGTGTCATGGGTGTTTTTATTGGATATGGTACTTGTGAAAAGGGGTATAGGGTACTGAATCCTTTAACTCAAAAGGTCTTGTTATCCAGAGATGTAATTTTTGATGAGAATGGTAGATGGGACTGGGAGAAACACAAAGTCAAGGAAGTTTGTATTCCTTTATCTGCAGTTGAATCTTCAGATTTTGATAAAATTGATGAGATGTCTGGATCTCATGAACAAGGAGGATTTGATGGGTCTCAAATTCAAGCTGGAAGTTCTCCAGTCATTGTCTTTGGTGAATCAAGTAGTTCACTAGTCTCACTTCAGTATGATAATACTCCACTGAGGTATAGGAATCTGAGTGAGATCTATGAGAGATGCCATCTATGCATTGTTGAACCTGAGTTCTTTGATGAAGCTGCACCGGATGAAGCATGGAAAAAGGCAATGAAGGATGAAATGAATATGATTGAGAAAAATCAGACATGGGAGTTGGTGAGAAGACCTTCAAATAAGCTTGTGATTGGGGTAAAATGGGTGTATAAAACAAAGCTGAATTTGGATGGGACAGTTCAAAAGAACAAGGCTAGACTTGTTGCAAAAGGCTATGCACAAAAGCCCGGAATTGATTTTAATGAGACTTTTGCACCTGTTGCAAGATTAGACACAGTTAGAACTCTAATTGCACTGGCAGCAAAGAATAATGGAAGTTATTTCAACTAGATGTGAAATCAATTTTTTTTTAATGGTGTATTAGAAGATGAGGTATATGTTGAACAGCCAGATGGGTTTGTGGTGCAAGGAGAGGAAGAAAAGGTTTACAGACTACATAAAGCTTTGTATGGTCTAAAACAGGCACCTAGGGCCTGGTATGGTGAAATAGACTCATACCTTATGCTTTGTGGGTTTAAGAAAAGCATCAGTGAGGCAACTTTGTACACTAAGTGCAAGGGAGACACAGAATTGATCATAGTATCCATTTATGTTGATGATATTATATATACTGGAAATTGTCAAGAGTTAATGAATGTTTTCAAAACTGAGATGATGCATAAGTATGAGATGACAGATCTTGGTCTTTTACACCATTTTCTTGGTATGGGAGTGATACAAACTGAGGAGTGTATTTTCATTCATCAGAGAAACTATGCTTTATCTCTACCGAAGAAATTTGGACTCCAGAATTGCAAATCTGTGAGTACTCCTTTGGTTCCAAGTGATAAACTGAGAAAAGAAGATGGAAGTGGAGCTGCAGATGAAGCTCAATATAGACAGACTGTAGGTAGTTTGTTGTATCTCACAGCAACTAGACCTGATATAATGTATGCTGCCTGTCTATTATCTCGGTTTATGCATTGCCCCACTAACAAGCACTATGGAACAACAAAGAAAGTATTGAGATATGTTCAAGGAACTCTTGATTTTGGTTTGGAATACAAGAAAGGTGAAGGAACACTCTTAATGGGATACTGTGATAGTGATTGGAGTGGCTCAGAGGATGATATGAAAAGTACATCCGGGTATGCTTTTACTTTTGGAAATGGGATTTTCTCTTGGTCTTTAGTCAAGCAACAATGTGTTGCATTATCCACAGCCGAAGCAGAGTATATCAGTGCTTCTGAAGCAACAACACAGGCTACTTGATTGAGATTTGTTCTAGAGGATTTTGGTGAAATGCAAACAGTTGCAACACCAATGAATTGTGACAATACATCAGCCATAACGATCACTAAGAATCCCATCTTTCATCAGAAGACCAAGCATATAAATAGAAGATATCACTTCATAAAGGAAGCATTGCAGCAAGGAGTAATTGATTTGATTCACTGTCCTACGAAGGAGCAAATAGCAGATATCTTTACAAAAGCATTAACAAGAGAGTAGTTCACTTACTTGAGAGATCTTCTCGGAGTGAAATCAGTTCACAACTTAAAGGGGAGTGTTAGTATGTAAGTTGTTGAGCTGATTATAAAACATTACAAGGTTGTTATGTGTGTTATGTCTCAGCTCATAGGCTGAGCTATTGTGTAAAAATGTGATGTGTTGATTAAGTCTCATAGGGCTTATCAATTGACAAGTGTCTTGATCTTAAGATAGGTTGTAATGGTTGGTTGAGATTGAATTGAGGTTATGTCTCTCTCTCTCTCTCTCTCTCATCTCCATCAGTTAAGTGTCTCTTCGAGCTCATATGCTCTGTATGGAATACAATGATAGAAGTTCAATAGTTATGTTGTGTGCGTGTTCTTCCTCCGAATTCATCTTCTAAATCTTTTCGAATATCTCTCTCAAATACTGTTAGACTTATTGTGTAGTTGTGTTGCTTTATTCTAACACTCTCTCTACAAATGTTTGCAGTTTCGATGATCTCCTAGGCTTTGATCGAAGCACTTCTATTGCATTCCCTTAGAAGGAAAACAAAGATAAACTGCCGTCTCAGATCGACGAACTCGAGTTTTTAAACCAACGAGAAAGAGGTAGAAGGAAGAGAGAGGAATGTGTTTTGCACATCTTGTTTTGAAAAGAACGAAAGAGAGAGGTACTAGGGATTTGGAATGGGAGAAAAGAAAGCCAACTATGCAAGTATTGGCTTTTGTAACTTATTAGGTTGATGTGGACTTGATATCAACCTTTGGATTCATCGAATGGCCAGCCATTATGAAAGCCAAAAAATAGATCGTCTTCCTCGCGAAGTTTAAACGCCATTGCCGTCGCCGTGGTCAGCCTGTGAGGTTCTCATGCGTGCATGCTTCAAGCATGAACAGAGAAACACATCCAGAGAAGAAGGGCAAAGTAATTTTATCATCAATTCTTTCTAAATATAAAAACGAGAAGAAAACGATTGATGATTCGATTTCGATTATATAATTATAAATATAGAAAATTTGCTTATGTGTTTAAATTAAGACAGGAAACCGTTCGCTTGGAAGTTGGAGGAATTCAACTTGTATAAGAAATGTAATTAATTATTTTAATACGTTCTTGTAGGGTATGTTGTCTTTCGTCACGTATATAATTTAATCTACAGCCATGTTGCTCTTGCATGCACGCTATGTGGCTACTACTACTAGTAGTAGAGAAATATATTTTCAGTAGGTGTTCGTGCATACGTGTTTTGCAAGAAATGAAGATTGGTTTCTACAATTTAAATGCTTTGATTAAATGTGAGCCCTTGGATCATAGTCCAAATGTGCATTTCAAATTCATTTAATTAAGTGATTAATTTTTCATCATGTAACTATCTCATAGGATAGATGAATGAATGGTTAGATTTTCTTTGATGTAAGAGAGAAACTCTCATTCTCTTTCCTATCTATTTGTAACGGTACGTAACATGCTCATCACACTTAGTGTGTGAACTGTGAATGGAATCCAAAAATTGTTAGCACCTTCCTTCTCTTCTGCCATTTTCGAGCAACCTGCAAATCTTCAGGAGTCATTCACACTGCCTCCATTGATAAACACTCAAGCTAAATATACTCTAACATGGCCTCAAAGCCAAATTCCTTCATAATCTGGGCGTGAATCTGTGAATCAAGGTAGCGGAGATACGCGAGGTGAATCAAGCTCTATTACAAAGAAATTTGAAGCTTCTGAAATTTCACTACTACAAAATTATCTATAACTGGCGGTTCAAAAACTGACAAAAAACGTATATTACTGTCGGATTTTAAGCAAAATCCGACAGAAAATGGATGCAGTGGCGGATATAATAAGCGACAGAATTGCCAGCGTCAGGAAATGAATTTTCCGACAGAAAATACTCTAAACCGACAAAACTGGTGTCGGATAAAACCGACAGAGAATATATTAATAATAAATAAATAAGAGCATTTCTGTAGGCTAAAACCGACAGAAAATACTAAAACCGCCAGAACTTCTGTCGAATATAACCGACAGAGAATTTATTAATAAGATTAAATAAAAACATTATGTCGGAGAAATCAACAGAAAATATATTAATAATAAAAAAAATATAAACCACTTTCTGCATCACAAGAACCCTTCGAAGAACATTGGAGAGGGAGAGAGACGACAGATTCAGAACAGCCCATATTCCAAAAGCCATGGATTTCTTCTACAGCTAGACAACCCTGTTTCAAAAGCCATCTACCAATAAGTGAAACTTCACACTCGAACTTTTTTTTTTTCCGCCATTTGTGTAATAATTTCGAGCTTCATTTTCCATATCAACACAGAGTTTTGCATTCAATTCATAGCTAGAGAGAGAAAGACAGAAATTGCTCAACAAATTTGTA